AAGGGGACGATGGCCAACCTGGGTTCGGGGGCCGACCCCCTGGAGACGCTGCAGGTGGAGGCCAGCTGCTCGGTGTGCCTGGGCTACCTGCAGGACCCCGTCATCATCGAGTGCGGCCACAACTTCTGCCGCCGCTGCATCACCCGCTGGTGGGCTCACCTTTCCCGGGATTTCCCTTGCCCGGTTTGTCGGAAAACCAGCCGGCACCGCTCCCTGCGCCCCAACCGCCAGCTGGGCAACATGGTGGAGGCCGCCCGCCAGCTCCGCCGGGGCCTCAAGAGGAAGAGGAGGAGGCAGGAGGAAGACGAAGAAGAGGAGGAGGTGGTGGAAGGAGGAGGAGGAGGAGGAGGAGGAGGAGAAGAAAACCGTAATTAAAATGAAAAGTAACAAGAGGAAGAGGAGGAGGCAGGAGGAAGACGAAGAAGAGGAGGAGGTGGTGGAAGGAGGAGGAGGAGGAGGAGGAGGAGGAGAAGAAAACCGTTGTCCCATCCACGGCCGGGAGCTGGCTCGGTTCTGCCGGGAGGATCAGACCCCCCTCTGCCTCCTCTGCCAGATCTCCCACCCCCACCGAGCCCACCGCCTGCTGCCCCTGGAGGAGGCCGCTCTGGAGTATAAGGTGAGGGGGAAAAAGGGAAAAAAGGGAAAGTTTTAAGGGAAAGGGGGTCCCCCAAAGCGTGGGTTTGGCCCCAGATTTGGCCCCGGGGCTCTCTGTGGAGAGGGTTGGGCTGGGGTTTGTCCAAATCGGTGTTTTCGGCCCCAAATTCTTCCCCAGGATCATCCCTGGGGGTGTTGGTTGGGGCTCAGACACTTTTCCAGCCCCTGAGGGGGGAATTTAGCCCCAAATTTGCCCCCGGGACTCTTGGTGGAGAGGGTTGGGCTGGGGTTTGTCTAAATCGCCGTTTTCGGCCCCAAATTCTTCCCCAGAATCATCCTGGGGGGGGTTGGTTGGGGTTCAGCCCCAAATTTGTCCCCAGTGCTCTGGATTTAGCTCCAAATTTGTCCCCAAGGCTCTGGATTTAGCCCCAAATCCTCTCCCTGAGGTCATTTCTGGAGGAGGTTTGGGCTGGGGTTTGTCTAAATCTCCGTTTTTGGCCCCAAATTCTTCCCCAGGATCATCCAGGGAGGGGATTTCTCTGGGGTTCAGCCCCTCAGGGTGGGATTTGGCCCCAAATTTGTCCCCTGAGTCTTGGGTTTGGCCCCAAATTTGTCCCCGGGGCTCTTGGTGAAGGGGTTTGGGCTGGGGTTTGTCTAAATCTCCGTTTTTGGCCCCAAATTCTTCCCTAGGATCATCCCTGGGGGGGGTTAGTTGGGGCTCAGCCCCATTTTCAGCCCCTCAGGGTGGGATTCGGTCCCAAATTTGTCCCCAGTGCTCTGGATTTAGCCCCAAATTTGTCCCCAAGGCTCTGGATTTAGCCCCAAATCCTCTCCCTGAGGCCATTTCTGGAGGAGGTTTGGGCTGGGGTTTGTCCAAATTAGCGTTTTCAGCCCCAAATTCTTCCCCAGAATCATCCCCGGGGCGGTCTGGTTGGGGCTCATCCCCATTTTCATCCCCTCAGGGTGGGATTCAGCCCCAAATTTGTCCCCCAATTCTTGGGTTTGGTCCCAAATTTGTCCCCGGGGCTCTTGGTGGAGAGGGTTGGGCTGGGGTTTGTCCAAATCACTGTTTTCAGCCCCAAATTATTCCCCAGGATCATCCAGGGAGGAGATTTTTCTGGGGTTCAGCCCCATTTTCAGCCCTTCAGAGGGGGATTCAGCCCCAAATTTGTCCCCAAGGCTCTGGATTTAGCCCCAAATCTTCTCCCTGAGGTCATTTCTGGAGGAGATTTGGGCTGGGGTTTGTCCAAATCGCTGTTTTCGGCCTCAAATTCTTCCCCAGAATCATCCCTGGGGGGGTTGGTTGGGGCTCAGCCCCATTTTCAGCTCCTCGAGGTGGGATTTAGCCCCAAATTTGTCCCCAGTGCTCTGGATTCAGCCCCAAATTTGTCCCCCAAGTCTTGGGTTTGGCCCCAAATTTGTCCCCAGGGCTCTTGGTGGAAAGGGTTGGGCTGGGGTTTGCCCAAATCGCCGTTTTCGGCCCCAAATTCTTCCCCAGGATCATCGAGGGAGGGGATTTTTCCGGGGCTCAGCCCCATTCCCCATTTCCAGCCCCTCGGGGTGGGGCCGAGCCCCAGTGGAGGGGAATTTGGGGACAAAGGAGGGGTTTGGGGACAGGGAAGGATTTAGGGACAGGGGCAGGATTTGGGGACAAGGGATGGGTTTGGGGACAGGGTAAGGATTTGGGGATGGGGCAGGACTCGGGGCTGGAGAAGGGATTTGGGGACAGGGAGGGATTCGGGGCTGGAGAAGGGATTTGGGGACAGGGAGGGACTCGGGGCTGGAGAAGGGATTTGGGGATGGGGCCAGGATTTGGGGACAGGGAAGGATTTGGGGCTGGAGGAGGGATTTGGGGACAGGGAGGGATTTGGGGACAAGGGATGGATTCGGGGATGAGGGAAGGATTTAGGGACAGGGGCAGGATTTGGGGACAAGGGATGGGTTTGGGGACAGGGGAAGGATTTGGGGACAGGGAGGGATTCGGGGCTGGAGAAGGGATTTGGGGACAGGGAGGGATTCGGGGCTGGAGAAGGGATTTGGGGATGGGGCCAGGATTTGGGGACAGGGAAGGATTTGGGGCTGGAGGAGGGATTTGGGGACAGGGAGGGATTTGGGGACAAGGGAGGGATTCGGGGATGAGGGAAGGACTCAGGGCTGGAGGAGGGATTTGGGGACAGGGAAGGATTCAGGGCTGGAGGAAGGTCTTGGGGATGGAGGAGGGATTCGGGGCCAAGGGAAGGATTTGGGGACAGGGGCAGAATTTGGGGACAAGGGAGGGATTTGGGGCAGGGAGAAGGATTTAGGGATGGGGGAAGGTCTTGGGGATGGAGGAGGGATTCGGGGACCAAGGACAGGATTTGGGGATGGGGCAGGACTCGGGGCTGGAGGAGGGATTTGGGGACAGGGAAGGATTTGGGACAGGAGGAAGGATTTGAGGCCAAGGGAAGGTTTTGGGGATGGGGCAGGATTTGGGGACAAGGGAGGGATTCAGGGACAGGGAAGGATTCGGGGCTGGAGGAGGGATTTGGGGACAGGGAAGGATTGGGGAACAGGGACAGAATTTGGGGACAAGGGAGGGATTCAGGACAGTGGCAGGATTTGGGGACGGGGGCAGAATTTGGAGACAAGGGAGGGATTTGGGGATGGGGGGAAAGGATTTGGGGACAGGGGAAGGATTTGGGAGCAGGGACAGGATTTGGGGATGGGAGAGGATTTAGGGATGAGGAAGGATTCAGGGACGGGGGAGTGATTTGGGGCAGGGAGAAGGATTTGGGGCTGAGGGAAGGATTTGGGGACAGGGACAGAATTTGGGGATAAGGGAAGGATTTGGGGATGAGGGAAGGATTTTGGGGCTAGAGGAGGAATTTGGGAACAGGGAAGGATTTGGGGCTAGAGAAGAGATTTGGGGACAGGGACAGGATTTGGGGATGGGGGAAGGACTCAGGGCTGGAGGAGGGATTTGGGGACAGGGGCAGGACTCAAGGATGGGACAGGATTTGGGGCTGAGGGAAGGATTTGGGGCCAGGGGCAGGATTTGGGGCCAGGACAGAATTTGGAGATGAGGGAAGGATTTGGGGCGGGGGGAAGGATTTGGGGCCAGGGCAGGATTTGCCTGGATTTAGCCCCAAATTTGTCCCCAAGGCTCTGGATTTAGCCCCAAATCCTCTCCCTGAGGCCATTTCTGGAGGAGGTTTGGGCTGGGGTTTGTCCAAATTAGCGTTTTCAGCCCCAAATTCTTCCCCAGAATCATCCCCGGGGCGGTCTGGTTGGGGCTCATCCCCATTTTCATCCCCTCAGGGTGGGATTCAGCCCCAAATTTGTCCCCCAATTCTTGGGTTTGGTCCCAAATTTGTCCCCGGGGCTCTTGGTGGAGAGGGTTGGGCTGGGGTTTGTCCAAATCACTGTTTTCAGCCCCAAATTATTCCCCAGGATCATCCAGGGAGGAGATTTTTCTGGGGTTCAGCCCCATTTTCAGCCCTTCAGAGGGGGATTCAGCCCCAAATTTGTCCCCAGGGCTCTTGGTGGAAAGGGTTGGGCTGGGGTTTGTCCAAATCTCCGTTTTTGGCCCCAAATTCTTCCCCAGGATCATCCAGGGAGGAGATTTTTCTGGGGTTCAGCCCCATTTTCAGCCCTTCAGAGGGGGATTCAGCCCCAAATTTGTCCCCCAAGTCTTGGGTTTGGCCCCAAATTTGTCCCCCAAGTCTTGGGTTTGGCCCCAAATTTGTCCCCCAAGTCTTGGGTTTGGCCCCAAATTTGTCCCCCAAGTCTTGGGTTTGGCCCCAAATTTGTCCCCCAAGTCTTGGGTTTGGCCCCAAATTTGTCCCCAGGGCTCTTGGTGGAAAGGGTTGGGCTGGGGTTTGCCCGGTTGGGCTGGGGTTTGTCCAAATCACTGTTTTCAGCCCCAAATTATTCCCCAGGATCATCCAGGGAGGAGATTTTTCTGGGGTTCAGCCCCATTTTCAGCCCTTCAGAGGGGGATTCAGCCCCAAATTTGTCCCCAAGGCTCTGGATTTAGCCCCAAATCTTCTCCCTGAGGTCATTTCTGGAGGAGATTTGGGCTGGGGTTTGTCCAAATCGCTGTTTTCGGCCTCAAATTCTTCCCCAGAATCATCCCTGGGGGGGTTGGTTGGGGCTCAGCCCCATTTTCAGCTCCTCGAGGTGGGATTTAGCCCCAAATTTGTCCCCAGTGCTCTGGATTCAGCCCCAAATTTGTCCCCCAAGTCTTGGGTTTGGCCCCAAATTTGTCCCCAGGGCTCTTGGTGGAAAGGGTTGGGCTGGGGTTTGCCCAAATCGCCGTTTTCGGCCCCAAATTCTTCCCCAGGATCATCGAGGGAGGGGATTTTTCCGGGGCTCAGCCCCATTCCCCATTTCCAGCCCCTCGGGGTGGGGCCGAGCCCCAGTGGAGGGGAATTCTCCCTGAGGTCATTTCTGGAGGAGATTTGGGCTGGGGTTTGTCCAAATCGCTGTTTTCGGCCTCAAATTCTTCCCCAGAATCATCCCTGGGGGGGTTGGTTGGGGCTCAGCCCCATTTTCAGCTCCTCGAGGTGGGATTTAGCCCCAAATTTGTCCCCAGTGCTCTGGATTCAGCCCCAAATTTGTCCCCCAAGTCTTGGGTTTGGCCCCAAATTTGTCCCCAGGGCTCTTGGTGGAAAGGGTTGGGCTGGGGTTTGCCCAAATCGCCGTTTTCGGCCCCAAATTCTTCCCCAGGATCATCGAGGGAGGGGATTTTTCCGGGGCTCAGCCCCATTCCCCATTTCCAGCCCCTCGGGGTGGGGCCGAGCCCCAGTGGAGGGGAATTTGGGGACAAAGGAGGGGTTTGGGGACAGGGAAGGATTTAGGGACAGGGGCAGGATTTGGGGACAAGGGATGGGTTTGGGGACAGGGTAAGGATTTGGGGATGGGGCAGGACTCGGGGCTGGAGAAGGGATTTGGGGACAGGGAGGGATTCGGGGCTGGAGAAGGGATTTGGGGACAGGGAGGGACTCGGGGCTGGAGAAGGGATTTGGGGATGGGGCCAGGATTTGGGGACAGGGAAGGATTTGGGGCTGGAGGAGGGATTTGGGGACAGGGAGGGATTTGGGGACAAGGGATGGATTCGGGGATGAGGGAAGGATTTAGGGACAGGGGCAGGATTTGGGGACAAGGGATGGGTTTGGGGACAGGGGAGGGATTTGGGGACAGGGAGGGATTCGGGGCTGGAGAAGGGATTTGGGGACAGGGAGGGATTCGGGGCTGGAGAAGGGATTTGGGGACAGGGAGGGATTCGGGGCTGGAGAAGGGATTTGGGGACAGGGAGGGATTCGGGGCTGGAGAAGGGATTTGGGGATGGGGCCAGGATTTGGGGACAGGGAAGGATTTGGGGCTGGAGGAGGGATTTGGGGACAGGGAGGGATTTGGGGACAAGGGATGGATTCGGGGATGAGGGAAGGATTTAGGGACAGGGGCAGGATTTGGGGACAAGGGATGGGTTCAGCTCCTCGAGGTGGGATTTAGCCCCAAATTTGTCCCCAGTGCTCTGGATTCAGCCCCAAATTTGTCCCCCAAGTCTTGGGTTTGGCCCCAAATTTGTCCCCAGGGCTCTTGGTGGAAAGGGTTGGGCTGGGGTTTGCCCAAATCGCCGTTTTCGGCCCCAAATTCTTCCCCAGGATCATCGAGGGAGGGGATTTTTCCGGGGCTCAGCCCCATTCCCCATTTCCAGCCCCTCGGGGTGGGGCCGAGCCCCAGTGGAGGGGAATTTGGGGACAAAGGAGGGGTTTGGGGACAGGGAAGGATTTAGGGACAGGGGCAGGATTTGGGGACAAGGGATGGGTTTGGGGACAGGGTAAGGATTTGGGGATGGGGCAGGACTCGGGGCTGGAGAAGGGATTTGGGGACAGGGAGGGATTCGGGGCTGGAGAAGGGATTTGGGGACAGGGAGGGACTCGGGGCTGGAGAAGGGATTTGGGGATGGGGCCAGGATTTGGGGACAGGGAAGGATTTGGGGCTGGAGGAGGGATTTGGGGACAGGGAGGGATTTGGGGACAAGGGATGGATTCGGGGATGAGGGAAGGATTTAGGGACAGGGGCAGGATTTGGGGAAAAGGGATGGGTTTGGGGACAGGGGAGGGATTTGGGGACAGGGAGGGATTCGGGGCTGGAGAAGGGATTTGGGGACAGGGAGGGATTCGGGGCTGGAGAAGGGATTTGGGGATGGGGCCAGGATTTGGGGACAGGGAAGGATTTGGGGCTGGAGGAGGGATTTGGGGACAGGGAGGGATTTGGGGACAAGGGAGGGATTCGGGGATGAGGGAAGGACTCAGGGCTGGAGGAGGGATTTGGGGACAGGGAGGGATTTGGGGACAAGGGAGGGATTCGGGGATGAGGGAAGGACTCAGGGCTGGAGGAGGGATTTGGGGACAGGGAAGGATTCAGGGCTGGAGGAAGGTCTTGGGGATGGAGGAGGGATTCGGGGCCAAGGGAAGGATTTGGGGACAGGGGCAGAATTTGGGGACAAGGGAGGGATTTGGGGCAGGGAGAAGGATTTAGGGATGGGGGAAGGTCTTGGGGATGGAGGAGGGATTCGGGGACCAAGGACAGGATTTGGGGATGGGGCAGGACTCGGGGCTGGAGGAGGGATTTGGGGACAGGGAAGGATTTGGGACAGGAGGAAGGATTTGAGGCCAAGGGAAGGTTTTGGGGATGGGGCAGGATTTGGGGACAAGGGAGGGATTCAGGGACAGGGAAGGATTCGGGGCTGGAGGAGGGATTTGGGGACAGGGAAGGATTGGGGAACAGGGACAGAATTTGGGGACAAGGGAGGGATTCAGGACAGTGGCAGGATTTGGGGACGGGGGCAGAATTTGGAGACAAGGGAGGGATTTGGGGATGGGGGGAAAGGATTTGGGGACAGGGGAAGGATTTGGGAGCAGGGACAGGATTTGGGGATGGGAGAGGATTTAGGGATGAGGAAGGATTCAGGGACGGGGGAGTGATTTGGGGCAGGGAGAAGGATTTGGGGCTGAGGGAAGGATTTGGGGACAGGGACAGAATTTGGGGATAAGGGAAGGATTTGGGGATGAGGGAAGGATTTTGGGGCTAGAGGAGGAATTTGGGAACAGGGAAGGATTTGGGGCTAGAGAAGAGATTTGGGGACAGGGACAGGATTTGGGGATGGGGGAAGGACTCAGGGCTGGAGGAGGGATTTGGGGACAGGGGCAGGACTCAAGGATGGGACGGGATTTGGGGATGGGGGGAAAGGATTTGGGGACAGGGGAAGGATTTGGGAGCAGGGACAGGATTTGGGGATGGGAGAGGATTTAGGGATGAGGAAGGATTCAGGGACGGGGGAGTGATTTGGGGCAGGGAGAAGGATTTGGGGCTGAGGGAAGGATTTGGGGACAGGGACAGAATTTGGGGATAAGGGAAGGATTTGGGGATGAGGGAAGGATTTTGGGGCTAGAGGAGGAATTTGGGAACAGGGAAGGATTTGGGGCTAGAGAAGAGATTTGGGGACAGGGACAGGATTTGGGGATGGGGGAAGGACTCAGGGCTGGAGGAGGGATTTGGGGACAGGGGCAGGACTCAAGGATGGGACAGGATTTGGGGCTGAGGGAAGGATTTGGGGCCAGGGGCAGGATTTGGGGCCAGGACAGAATTTGGAGATGAGGGAAGGATTTGGGGCGGGGGGAAGGATTTGGGGCCAGGGCAGGATTTGCGGACAAGGGAGGGATTTGGGGCAGGGAGAAGGATTTGGGGCTGAGGGAAGGACTCAGGACTGGAGGAAGGATTTGGGGCCAAGGGAAGGATTTGGGGATGAGGGAAGGATTTGGGGCTGGGGGAGGGATTTGGGGATGAGGGAAGGACTTGGGGCCAAGGGATGGATTTGGGGCCGAGGGAGGGATTTGGGGATGGGGGCAGGATTTGGGGACGAGGAAGGATTCAGGGACGGGGGAGTGATTTGGGGATGAGGGAAGGACTCGGGGATGGAGCAGGGATTTGGGGACAGGGGCAGGACTCAAGGATGGGACAGGATTTGGGGCTGAGGGAAGGATTTGGGGCCAGGGGCAGGATTTGGGGCCGGGGCAGGATTTGGGGCCGGGGCAGGATTTGGGGTGAGGGTTGTCCCATCCCTCCCCACCCCAGGAGAAGCTGCGGCGCTGCCTGGAGCTGCTGGAGCAGAAGCTGGAGGCCGTGGCCGGGTGCCGGGCGCGGGAGGAGAAGAAACCCAGCGAGCTGAAGGCAGGTCCTGGGGCACGGGCCAACCAGTGCCAACCAGTGCTTACTGGGGCCATCCCAGTCCCTCCCAGTGCCCACCAGGGCCATCCCAGTGCTGACTGGTGCCATCCCAGTCCCACCCAGTGCTCATTGGTGCCATTGCAGTCCCTCCCAGTGCTCACCAGAGCCATCCCAGTGCTCACTGGGGCCCTCCCAGTCCCTCCCAGTGCTCACTGGGGTCCTCCCAGTCCCTCCCAGTCAGTCCCAGTGCTCACAGGAGCCCTCCCAGTGCTCACCGGGGCCATCCCAGTCCCTCCCAGTGCTCACCAGAGGCATCCCAGTGCTCACCGGGGCCATCCCAGTCCCTCCCAGTGCTCACTGGGGCCCTCCCAGTGCTCACCGGGGCCATCCCAGTCCCTCCCAGTCCCTCCCAGTGCTCACTGGTGCCATCCCAGTCCCTCCCAGTGCTCACCAGTGCCATCCCAGTCGCTCCCAGTCCCTCCCAGTCCCTCCCAGTGCCCACCAGAGCCATCCCAGTCCCTCCCAGTGCTCTCCGGAGCCCTCCCAGTGCTCTCTGGAGCCCTCCCAGTCCCTCCCAGTGCCCTTTCAGTCCCTCCCAGTGCTCACCAGAGCCCTCCCAGTCCCTCTCAGTGCTCACTGGTGCCATCCCAGTCCCTCCCAGTGCTCTCTGGAGCCCTCCCAGTCCCTCCCAGTCCCTCCCAGTGCTCTCTAGAGCCATCCCAGTCTCTCCCAGTCCCCCCCAGTGCCCACCAGTCCCTCTCCCTGCAGCGGCAGGTGGCTGCCCGCCGGGAGTGCATCTCTGGGGAGTTCGAGGAGCTGCAGGTCCTGGGGACACGGGGCATCCCAGTCCCTCCCAGTGCTCTCTGGAGCCCTCCCAGTCCCTCCCAGTCTCTCCCAGTCCCTCCCAGTGCTCTCTGGAGCCCTCCCAGTCGCTCCCAGTGCCCACCAGTGCCTGTCCCCGCAGCGGCAGGTGGCTGCCCGCCGGGAGTGCATCTCCGAGGAGTTCGAGGAGCTGCGGGCGCTGCTGGCGGAGGAGGAGCGGGAGCTGCTGGGGCGGCCTCCCAGTCCCTCCCAGTGCTCACTGGGGTCATCCCAGTCCCTCCCAGTCCCATTCAGTCTCTCCCAGTGCTCCCCAGAGCCATCCCAGTGCTCTCTGGAGCCCTCCCAGTCGCTCCCAGTCCCTCCCAGTGCTCATTGGAGCCATCCCAGTCCCTCCCAGTGCTCACCAGTGCCATCCCAGTCGCTCCCAGTCCCTCCCAGTGCCTCCCAGTGCTCACAGGAGCCATCCCAGTCCCTCCCAGTGTTCTCTGGAGCCCTCCCAGTCCCTCCCAGTGCTCACCAGAGCCATCTCAGTGCTCACTGGTGCTATCCCAGTGCTCACCGGGGCCATCCCCGTCCCTCCCAGTGTTCTCCGGTTCCAGTCCCTCCCAGTGCCTCCCAGTGCCTCCTAGTGCCCTTTAAATCCCTCCCAGTGCCCTCCCCGTGCCCACCAGTCCCTGTCCCCGCAGCGGCAGGTGGCTGCCCGCCGGGAGTGCATCTCCGTGGGGTTCGAGGAGCTGCAGGGGCTGTGGGCAGGGGGG